CGGGCTTGGATAGGAGGGGCCCGAGTTGAAGATGGACGACATGGAACTCCTGCCAGGAAGAGGAGAGGCGTGAGGAAGCGGCGGACCAGGAGAGGGAGAGGAGTCGCCGCGGGAGGGGGGGGGGGGGGGGGGTCTCGAGGTCGGCAGAAGAGGTCGGCGGCGTGCTTCTGGAAGGAGTCGAGTGTTAGCCTTTATGTTTTGATGATGATTTATAACCACCATTATTAGTACTAATTGTTTGTTAAGTGATATTGTAGATTATAATAATATCAAGCTTATTAGTACTTATATTGGAGGATTGGATGGAACAACAACCTACAACGAAGATATCCAAGGAGGTGGAGGCTAAGTGATGAAGCAAAGCTATCAAGAGTACAACACTCACAAGAAGCTTCATCAAAGATATGAGCAAATATCAAGACAAATGAATTGTATTCATATATGTGAGATATTTGTATTTTTATTTCTCTCTAGTGCTTAATGTAGGCAAGTCATTAAGTTGGTAACATTTAAAGCTCATTGGATTCACACACACACTTTCACACAAATCATTATTTTTGAACTATTTTGGAAAATCAGTAGTTTTTACTTTTGCAAAATGATTTTTCAAAAAAAAAATTCTAACATATTAACAATCATGTTTATAACTTTTTTCAAAGTTTTATATATTTTTAGAATTTTTTTACTATTTTCTAAGGGCCTCAAAAGATCAAATTTCATATATGCACAGACCCTGTGCATGTTCATAAGTTGACTTATCAGATGAGATAAGTCGACTTATGAACTACTCTGGAATATGCGATTTTTCTCGTCCAAGTCGACTTATACAACCTGTCAAGTCGACTTATGCTTTCTTCTAAGTCGACTTGTGGAGGACTATTTTACATATAACGGCTAGTTACAAGTCGATTTGTCATTGTTACAAGTCGACTTATATTGGCTAGTTTCTGACAGCTGTATTTTCGGGATTTTTTATTCTGTTTGGGATTTGAGATGGGGTTTTGGGTTTCTATAAATACTTAATCCCTCTCATCATTTCATTTTTGAATCAAGCAAGAGAAAATTCCCAAGCTTTGCATTCTAAGTTTTTTGAGCTCTAATTTTTAATTTATCATTCTCAAGCTCTTGTTCTCCTCACTTCCACACTCCACAATCCTTGAGCTTCATTTGTTCCTTACTTAATCCTTGTCATAGGGATTGTTGTGAGAGCTATTCTTGTTCTATTGTAATTGTGTGGTGAGGTTGATCTTGAGAAGATCAAGTACGTGGGTTGTAAGATCTCAAGAGGAGATCGTTGTGAAGAAGTTCCGGCTTCCAAACCGGGTTGTGATAGTAAAGTTCTCCTCGAGAGTGGGGAGCGGGGACGTAGGTCGGAGGACCGAACCTCGTGAACATATCGCGTGTCACAATTGGCTAACTATTTCCTAACTCATCTCCTTTATATTGTTTTAGTATTTTATTTTGTAGTGTATTGTATTGTCTTTAGTTTAGTTGCACATTTATTGCCTCGTAACCCTATTCACCCCCTCCCCCCCTCTAGGGTTCAACATCGTGCTCTTGGTCCTGCTGCTCGTCAGTGTGGAATTTCACGGGACTTGAAGTCCAATGAAAGAATTGCCGTCCTTAATTAATTGTCATTAGAAGCTGCTAAACTTCACGCTACATGAAGTCCCGTGAAGTTTCAGATTTTTTTTGTCAAAACCGACTCAGTTTCAGCGAGATGGCTGAAACGGGGTCGGTTTTAACAAATAAGTTGAAAATGGATCGAAATTTGTAATTAATTTTGTAAATAGGTCTATTTTCAAATTTTGTCCTATGCTAAATGAAAACACTTAAAAATTTATATCCAATCCACAAATTGATTTTGTATAAGATCCTTTGTTCCCCTTTAACAATGATCTAGCAACGACAACAACAAAACAAAACATAAAAAAAAAAGGTATACAATCCCATGTTTCCAGCAGCAATGCCCGCCCTTTGTCAAGGGCCCCTAGGTTCTCCGGTCTTTTTTATTAATAAATTTAAACATTTTTGGCACATTAGGTGTTTTCTAAAAAAAAAAAGGGAGGAGGGGGGTTAAAAACTTCTTGAAAAGAAAAAGAAAGGTAGGCTTTTGGTACCTTATTTTAGCAGTTAGCTGCAAAGGACCATTTCCAAAGCGCACATCACATGGCTGTAGTAGGAACAAGCATCCAGCTAGGGGTGCAACTTTGCATATATGCAGCGCAAGCTGTCTAAATTTATGGCTGTGTTAGTATTAGAAGTTAGAACCGAGCGCATGTGTAAAAGTGATTCTTATTGCTACAAAGTAAGAATATTTGTTTGGCCAAAAGGAACACTAATAAAGTCACCAAACATGTGACTGTTCGTCTGAATACTAATGCTAGCTATTATTCACTATTTAGCAAAACCGAAAGTTATTCACTATTTAAATGACTTCAGGTTATAGAGTACACTCTTGAGTTGAGCATTAGCACTGTATTTGCTCTCTGTTGAGGTCATTAATATGTGAGCATAGTCACACATCGGATATGATAAGAAAAAGTGATGTGTTCAAAGTAGGAGCTGAGGCCAATACTTAATAGCCATACCTAGTTCTTGAGTTAAAATTGATTTCTATCCTCTATGTAACACCCATTAACTCTAGGTTGGGCCTATTTTCTCCCCAACAAACTTTAATTTGATTATAAAACTTTTTTTTTTCTTTACTCTTTACTAGAATTAGAACTCCAAAACAGTAGGAAATAAATTTCTCTCAATTTTCTTAAACTCTCAAACTAAATATTATATTTTCTCTCTTTTTTTTCCCACCATTCATTTCTCTCTATTTTATCATCTCAAGATGCATAGATCATGTCCTTGTGTTTAACAAGAAATAAATACGAATATATTTTCTGTGCGAAAAAGATAATTGAGAGAAATTTCACAGCATATGTCCGACTATATTTGGACAAAACCATGCATTCAGTGACGTGACAGGCAATTCATGTAGGTTTCAACGTGTAAATACTCGTCACCAAACATCTGCCTTCTTATTTTATGATGACATAAAGAGTACTAATTGTATAAGATTGATGTGATAATCTCTTTATTAGCTCAGGTAATGTAAATATTAATTAAATTAATAAAAAAGTACTATAAGAATAACTTCACATAAGAAAGGTTTATTTACTTATTCATGTATCACTCTAATATATTTTATTTGCATATTCTGCTTTCCAAGTATGATCATCAACTAATTTACTCCTACAACTTTAATCTGTCCCTCTCTCTTCTATTTCACACATAAAATATCTAATAAAAGATGGCTCTAGTTCACCCAAAAACTCTTTCAAAAAACTCTTGCCCTCTACTATGTCGAAATTCATCACATGCAAAAATAAATAAATAAATAAATAAAATCATCTCTCAGACCCCTCGTTTTTGTCTTTGTCGGCAATAGGGTAAAACTAAATAGGAAGCTCTCTTGGCAGGCAAAAGAGGAGTAGAAAAAATCAATGTGGAAAATTTGAGTAGCAAATAAACATAGGCCTAATTGCTCCTCTAAACTATTTTTAGTCCTCTTAAACTATTAAAAATCCGTCTTTGTTCGTCTCCTAAGCTATTTTCAGTCTCACTTTAACCTTTGAACTATCAAATCTGGTAGCAAGTTATCACTTCTTTTTTTTTATTACTTTGTGGGTATTTTTAATGAATCAAGTGACATTTCAGGGGGTAGTGTGACATTGAAGTAATAGTTCAGAAGGTAAAGATGAAATGAAAATAGTTTAGATGGTAAAATAGATGAATTTAGAGGTTCAAGAGGTAAGATGAAACTAAAAATAGTTTAGAGGTGTATGGCGACAAAATAAATAATTTAGGGAACAGGCATAGGCTGAAACCTAAAAAATATCTAGATTTTGGAAGTCAATTTATTGAAAATTAATCGAGGACTAGGCTGTGCATATTTTGAAGATAATAATGATTTTAACAAAAAATTTGAAAATGTACCTAGTATATTTCCTAAAGAATAAATCAGAGATTTGAATTAAATCAATTTCAAGGAATATAATATGTTAGATTCAAAAAGTCAGAACATAGATTTACCGGTATATAGGTCAAAGATCCAATAATAAATACTCGTAAAATGATATTTCAAAATTAAATGGTTCCAATTTTTGAGTTATAAGAAGTCAGAACTATAGATGAATAAATGAAAACATGTTGGGGATTCGAAACAATCAATCGAACCCGTGTCCTTCCGGATCTTGTGCTAAGAGTTTAACAAGTAGGAAAATCACTGCAAATAAAAGAAAAACTTGCAGAAAAGATAAACAAGAAGGAACACACCAGATTTAACGAGGTTCGGCAAACGTGCCTACGTCCTCGGGAGCCACACCACACAATTCTTTGATTAATTGAAGAAGATTACAATGCCCACAAATAAGTTTTTCTCTCTCTGAGATATCTCTCTCAAATAGCCGTCAAAACCCTCTTTTTCGTGTTCTACAAACCCTAAAAAACATATCAAGGTATATATAGTATCCTGGCCCAAAACAGTTGTCCAAACGAATCAGGAAACTGGAAAAACTGATTACGGTCGACCGAACCATGTGTGTCGGTCGACCGGCTAGAACACAGTTTCTTACAGGGTCTCCGTGCATGTTTTTGATTGACCGGATCATTTCCTTTGGTTGACTGATTGGTCACCCTCAGTCGACCAACCACACAGCTTCGGTCGACCGGCCAGAGCGTGTTCCTGAACTTGTTTTCTGTAGTCTCTTCGGTCGATCGAGGACACTTCGTCAACCGACCGACCCGAGATTTCTCAGCCTCGCGGATTTGTTTCATGTTTTGGTCTTCACACTTCCAAAACCAACAAATATGACCGAAGAAAGAAAACAAAACAAAACAAAACATTTTTCTTTGTTTTCGTGGCTTTATCTCGACTATTTATCTGCTAATTATCTTTTTGCCTTTTCCAACCTAGCAAGCAACCCATGAGGAATCTCATTCAGTTCAGTTCAACCTTGGGAATTGATATCTGAGTCATTTCTCATTCAAATTCCAAAACAAATTCAAGCCAACATCAGCAATCATACTCCACTTTTTCATAAGGAAATCCTTGGCTTCCCGTGATTCCGATTTCCACCAAGTTCGAGTCCAAGGGAGAGAAATAAAACTAAAGAAAGCACTGCAAACTAGGACCCCATACCCTTAAAAGCCTGTACAAATTACCAAAAACCAAAGCATAAAACACCCCCAGTTACCACCTAAACAAATTAAGGATAACCCCTTGAATTCAAAAATTTGCATCATTGCAACCCCTACCAGCATCACTTTCAAATGCTCAGCAGATCAGGAGGTGACTTCTCTCCTCCCCCTCCATTAACATCGTCCTCTTCTTGATTTGTTGATGCCTTCGGAATCTCTGTCAAGATCTGAACCACTTCCCTCATCGTGGGTCTCTCAACGCTCTGCTCCTCAACGCAGAGCAAAGCAACGTAGAACACGTGCATTGCCTCGTTGAGAGGCACAGAATGGAGCCTTGGGTCGAGGATTTTGAGCACTGATTCTTTGTTTGAGTCTGTCACCTTTCGAACCCACTGGACAATGTCAACGCCATCACCAAATTCTCCTACAGGTTTTCTCCCGCTTATCAGTTCGAGGAGAACCACTCCGAAGCTGTAGACATCGCTCTTTTCATCCACCTTCAGGGTGTAAGCATACTCTACAGAAAGGAAAAAGGGTCCAATGTCAAACAAGAAACTCAAATAATTATTGTTTGAGAAATCAAACGAATTTAAAAGTGGAATTTCGAGAAAATAGAATTTGAATACATGTTAATAATGTGGCCATCATGTTCCAGAGACCTGAGAACACCACTACAAGTCTATTAAGGGCAAGAGAACAGAACAAGAGGATGGGAATCAAACCATTTCAATTTAAGGATGCTAGTTTCAACAATCTAATTTCTAAAATAGATGAGAAAGTTTTAACCAAAAGTCATACAGTATTATAACACAAAGTTCCTGTGCTCATTAATTCCTTTCTACAGACAATTTTAGGGTAGCCCACCAAAGGAAATCAAATTGATGGTAAATTTTATTGAAGGAGTGAAATCAACTTAAGAATTCTATGTTTAACGACACAATCTTTGATAACTGAGAAAATTTCTCATCTAAAGTCTTTCATTAATTTTCTTCTGTGCAGGGGATCAAATAGTCTGTAAAAAGAAATCAAACTGACTGTGAATTACATTGAAATCATGAAATTAAAAACCCTTTTTCTCATGTACACTAATCTAGTAAATGTTTCAACTCTAATAAATTAGCTAAACTTTGATAGAGTGAAGAACGTACCTGGAGCAATGTAGCCATAAGACCCAGCTATGGCAGACATACACTCAGAAGTCCCAGAATCCTGCAAGAACTTCGCCAGCCCAAAATCAGCGACATGAGCTTCCAAATTCGAATCCAGAAGTATATTATTCGACTTCACATCGCGGTGAAGGATCAAGGGAGAACAATCGTGGTGAAGATAGCACAATCCCTTGGCGGCCTCCACCGCAATCTTATACCTCGCATCCCAATGCAAAAACCCTCCTTTTTTGCCGTGAAGAACCTCGCCAAGGCTCCCATTAGGCATATACTCGTACACCAAGAGATTGGTTTCATGATTCGAGCAAAAACCCAGCAGCCTAACGATGTGTCTGTGTCTGATTCTGCCCAGAGTTTGGATTTCAGCGTTGAACCCATGATCGTGTGAGGATCCCCGGCTCATTGCTGGGAGTCTTTTAACGGCCACGTGATCGCCATTAGGCATCGATCCTTTGTACACAATCCCGGCTCCTCCTTTGCCGATCACGTTCTCCTCTTTCAAGCAATCAAGAACATCATCACAACTGAAGTCCAATCTTTGGAATGCAGTTAGTTTCCAAGCTCGAGCATCACTTGCCTTTTTTAAAGCTCGAGCTTTGATGATGGCGGCGATGGCAAATGCGATGGAACAGATGAGAAGCCCGATGACGAGTAGTAGCTTGAAAGAGGCGGAGAGAGCAGCTTTAGACCGACCGGCAGCGGCGGGGCCGCCAGCGGTGCCGAGCTTGCATGGGCCTAGATAGGGCCCACAGAGGTCGGGGTTTCCGACGAACGATGTGGAGTTGAAGTAGCTGAACTGGCCGGTGGCCGGAACGATCCCTGACAGGTTGTTGTAGGAGAAATCGACAGCCGTCAAACTCTGCATGGTGGATATCGACACCGGAATTTCCCCTTGGAGGTCGTTCCTCGACACATTGAGGTAGTTTAGAATCCTCATGCCAGTGATCTCGGTCGGAATCTCCCCGGATAAATTGTTTCGGCTAAGATCGACGAAGGTTAACGACCTGCATTTGCTGATGTCCAGCACGATCCGACCCGATAACCGATTCCCGCTTAAATCCAGCTTGGACAGCTGCTGCAACCTCCCAATCTCCGGCGGAATGCTCCCGTTAAAGAAATTTTGATTCAGGAGGAGCTTCTGGACGCCGGAAAAGTTTCCAATGGACGCCGGCAAAGGCCCGGAGAGTCTATTATTAGAAAGACTAATCTGACCGAGACCCGGCGAGATCGAACTTTTGTCCGCATCCGGAAATCTACCCACCAGCAAATTATCTTGAAGCTCGACTTGCGCGAGCTTCGGCAAGCTGAACAGACCCTCAGGAATCGAGCCGTTCAAATAGTTTTCCCCCAACCGGATCCTACTCAGAGACTCGCATCGCCCTAAAGAATCGGGAATCGGACCAAAGAGGAAATTTCCCAATGCGATTAGGGTTTGTAGTCGATTGCCCAAGCACAAGTCGGGAGGCAGAGTCCCGGTGAGTTTGTTCGTCGAAAGGTCGAGCAGCTGGAGTTTCCCGCTCGTTCCGAGCTTCGACGGGATGCTGCCGGTGAAATTGTTCTCCCAGAGCTGGAGAACCTCTAACTCCGGCAACTCCCCGATGAAGTCCGGGATCGCCCCGTACAGTTTGTTACGGAAAAGATTCAGCAAGGTCAGATTCCTGAGACCTCCGAAGATGGTGGGGATTTCTCCGACGAAGGCGTTGTTTGAGAGGTCCATCGATTTCAAGCTTCGGAGCTTGCTGAGATCCGGCGTAAGCTCGCCGGAGAGCCCGTTCACCTGAAGAAACAGGGTGTCGAGATTCTCTAGCTCGCCGATCTCGGCTGGGATCTCGCGGATGAGGCCGCAGTTGGCGATGTCGAGCCGTCACGAGCTTCTTCAGCCTCCCGATCTCCCTGGGGATCCCGCTCGCGTAGCTGTTGTAGTATCCGATGGTAGACTCCCTGATGATTGGGAGGCTCCGATCTCGGCGGGGAGTTTTCCCAGCCGAGCTCGTTGCCGGAGGACGGTAGGGTACTCGAGAGAACTCCCACACGGCCGTAGCTCCGGACGGCGAATCTCGCGGAGAAGAAGTTGCCGCCGAGCTGCAGTAGTCGGAGGTTGCGATATCAGGCTCAGTGACCTCGACGGCAAGACCCCGGTGAGGTTGTGTGTTGTAAATGTCGGAGACCTGAGAGGACTCTTTGAGGGTGGATGAGGAGGGGCAGGAAGGAGCATTAAGATGTGTATGAGAGTTGAGCGAAGCGGAGGTTTGCGGGGACGCGGGAATAGAGGAGTCGGGGACGGCGGCCCACGAGAGTTGTTGTTATGCGCGCGAGGGGAGGCGCGCGTTGAGGTAGGCGTGCGAGGGTGAGACCGAGGGGGCCAGGTCCCGTTGAGTTGAGCCGGCGAGGTCGAGGATGGTCACGGGGCCGGTCGGGCGAGCCGCCGGTCAGTTGCGAGTGAGGGTCCGCGGGTCCCACGGAGGCAGGCCGAGGGTTAGAGGGTGGTTTGAGGCCCAAGGAGGCGGGTGGTTCGGGTTTCGGCGGTGGAGTTAAAGGGGGAGGAGAGAGAAAATGAGGAGGAGGACCAGGAAGGAAGCACCACATCTGCAGGAGGGAGGGAGGGGCTGTTGGATTCTGAGCTTCGGCGGGAGAGAGGGGTGGGGGCGGAAGAGTTGTTGTGGGTTCTATTGGTGGACTGTTAATTATTTCGGCTTTTTTTAATTCGTAAAGTAGTTGGCGGGATTATTTAGTTTAAAGTTGTTTTTGTTTCGGTTGTCGTGAGGTTGGGTTTGTATGATCGATGGGGGGTTGGTTGGATTGCATGATTTTTGTGTTTGTTTTGTAGCGAGGTTTTAGAGGGTATGAGAAGCGGGTGGGAATTTCGTACGCGAGAGGAGGATGATGATGATGATGATAATAATATAATCTGCGTAAACACTTGTTGGGTTTTTTTTTTGGTTTGGACAATTGGACCCCATCTAGATTCTTACCCGAGGTGGACAACCAACGGGGCTCGCTCAGTTTTTTCTTACTAGTTCGTGTGCACGTTTGTTAAATATCAAAATTATTATTTTTATTTATTTATTTACTATGAAATAAGTTAGATCCATTTTGAGTTAAAATCTATAAACATGGATTATTATATTTACCATAAGTTTTATATAAAGTTTTTTAAAAATTTTATGAAATAGATGATTAGTTTTGAAAATTTCTTAGGGTCAGGAATAAACGACTAACAAGTTTGCAGTAGAAGATAGCGAAACGTAGTACATTCTTAAGAATTGTTAATCTTTACTTAGTTTGTTTATAATGATAGGATCTCATTATTAACTAACTACAATGCCTAGTACATTATTTTTTTGGTTGGACGTTCAAGGCAGGTAGAGGACTCATGTAAGTCCTCATCGCAATGAATGTTATACAACTTAAGTACAAAGAAAAAATGAAGGTTAATTAATGGTGTAGTTGGTGAGGGGAAACTCCAGCAGTTTAATTTGGTATGCGGATATATAATAGACGGAGATGGAGAAGAGTGGTTTTGAAAATAGTGGGTGCGTGTAGGTAATTAATATGACTTTTATTTGTGCGGTTTTCTTCGTTCATTTTCAAGATATCTGTGATCCTCTGGATATATATAGTTATAACATTGCTACTCTCTTTTGGTTTTGTGGAAGAGTTAGGGTGTCAAAAAAATTAAATTATCTAAGCACATACATGGAATTTATTTTAACCAACACCCATGTGTAAATATTACAATTGTCATTTAGATCTAAGATATGTGTGAGATTCTCTTTGATTTTTATACAAACAATATCCATTTAAATAATAATAATATAATTAAACTTTATGATCTAAAAAAAGATCAAACATACAATATAAGCAATTTCTTTAAAATAATCTAATCTAGTCTAATAAGAAGAAAATAGATGAAAATAATGTGAAAATTGTTATAATTTCATAATTCAAAATTTTTAAACAATCTAATCTAATCTAATAAGAAGAAAATAACAAAGGCACATACCTGTTAAAGGAGATGAAAGTGCTATAAAAATTGTTACAATTTCTAATTTAAAATGAAGATCAAACATTCAATATAATTAATTATTTTAAAATAATCTAATCTAATCTAATAAGAAGAAAATAGATGAAAGTGCTATGAAAATTATTAATATTTCTTGATATGAAAAAAGATCAAATATACAATATAATTAATTGCTTTAAAATAATCTAATCTAATCTACTAAGAAAAAAATAACAAAGGCATATATATGTAGAAGGAGATGAACGTGCTAAGGTAATTGTTGTAGTTTCTTGGTTTATAAATATTGGTATGCGACGTTGCATATGAGAGGATAACAATTATAAATATAATTCTATTTAAATAATAATAGTATAATTAAACTTTGAAATTAATTATGCAGTAACATGAACTACTTAAATTTTGGTTGGTGAGAGATCGTCACATTATGTCCTCATATCGCAGTCGTCTGTTTTAATTTTCCTTTTTTATAATTTTCAGAATGATTTTATCTCTTTAATTTGTTTGATGAATTTTGCAAATACCCCGTCCACATTATGTACATTTGTAGGTCTGTGCTATTCTGGGGTTCGACATCTGAGGCGAACATTATTTATCTCACTAATTTGTTTGGTTTTTACATATACGCCATTCATCTTGTATACATTTATAAATTTGGCATTTAATAATTTCATTCATTTAAACTATATTATTGTCTTTATACTATGTATATCCAATAAGAATTCATTAATTTATCAATTTACTCTTACTTAATGGATTAGTATTTGAATTTCAAGGGTATTTTGTCTACCAAAAGATTTTCCCGGACTCGTTCTTTTAAAGGAAGTATTGTTTGGGGAGAAAATTGCTTTCATTGTAGAATTCATTATAACTTCGGTCGTTACAACAAATTCAGAAAGAAAAATAGTCTTTTTATAAGACTTTCGATACAATGAAAATAGATTACAACTCTCTTTCAAACAATACGCAACAGAAATGTATCGCCTATTGTTTTTTTGCGGGATCTTTGTCAGTGCCAGGATTTATCCGTGGACCGCCTGCGGATCGGATCCGGTTTGTAGAAGTGATATCGAAGCTCATACTTCACTAAGAAAGTATTCGCTTGAAGCACTAAAATCGACCAAGCGAGATCAGTAGCTCTTCTCGAGATTAAGACCAAGCCTAATCTCAAGGAACAGACGGGGGGAATACAGGTTCAGATCCTTTGAAAACCTTCCTCTTTATGCTGAAGTTTACCGGGATCTGACTTGCCTTCGCTGTAAATTCGTGCTCCTTTGACTCCTCAATCCAGCAGCACCTCACCCTCTTGATCTCATTCCCCCGTGAAATGAACCCCTAGGCTTGTATTTATAGGCTTCAGTTGGGGATTTTTAGATAAGAACGATGAATTTGGCATTATCTTCAGTTGACAATGACCTAACCATGTTTATGGATGGTATCTAGGTAGTTGAGATGCTCTTGAATAAACAAATCCTGAGAAAACAACAAAAAACTAAAAAAAACCACGTTTTCAAAACTTCTGGGCACGAAACAGGTCGTGCTGACCCACAAGGATGCGAGTCAGCCGAGTTTGACCCGTGCTAGCATGGGTCAGCCAGCTTTGACCCGCGCTGGTGCGGGTTGGCCAACACTGACCCACGCTGGCGCGGATCGGCCAGCACCGTTTTGGGTCGGCGCGGGTCCGCCGCCTCAGCTGAACTCCTTTTTGGCAATTTTACCTTCTGTGACTTGTATTTTCTACCGTTTTGCTTATTTGCCCATTGTGTTGACTTATACACTCAGCGCGAGTTGACTAACATGTGCGTCTGGTCACTTGGAGCTGACTGACGCGCGTGAGCTGACTAACGAGCGTGACGGCCAATTGGAGGTGACTGGTGAGCGCACGAGACATAGTTGGTTCGCCATTCTGGTTCATGCACTTGTCGATATCAGATAATCCTCTTAGACTCGGATAACGATGTTCGTTATCTTCTCTCCGTCTCGAGCTGTGTATGGATACCTATAGGTATTTTTTAGACGCCTACAAATACGCCCTCCAAAGTATTTCAGACTGATTCTTTTATAGAGGAGTCTGGAATGCTTTAGATAAGATAGGCCATTTCCTCAATCTCGTAGAGGGACCTATGAACTGCTTCAATTCTTAATGTCTTCAGCCTTCAGTCTGTTCAATATTTTGTTGAATAGATGAAGTTCTTCCTGTTGGCCTTCTTATTTTGATGATGTTTAACAAACAATTTACCACTAATGTTGTTTGTCTAGTATTTGTGTTTTCTTATTTATTATAGACAAACAATGTTGTTGGATGATGGATGGAATAGAGCTTCAACGATCATATCCAAAGGAGGTTGGAGGAATTGTAGAGTGAAGCAACGTACAATTCAAGTTCAAGATCCAAGTTTAGCTTCATCCGCAAGGTGTACCAAGTTGAGCTCAATGAAGATCAAGATCAAGCTTGGGTAATTTAGTTTAGGATTTATATTATGTGTGTTAAGTACGCTAAGCTCAATTATCTATACACACACATCTATTGGTTTCATAGTATATATATAGTTTATATATATACATACATGTGTTTTGGTTTTTATGATATTACATATTCTATTGTGTTTTTAGTACTTATTACATAGAATATGTAATTTTGTAAAAATATTGTATTATTAGTTTATAGACTTCAATATCAGTTTATACATGTTTTACTAAGTCTATAAAAACATTTTACAAAGTTTCAAAAGTTGGTTTATGTCAAAACATCAAAATTCAAGTATCTCATATTTTCATGTTTTGGACTATTTTGTAAAATAATGATATTTTTCATTTGGGAAGTCCTTTTTCAAAACCAATTGTTGTAGCATGTTTATTATCATGTTTACAATCATTCCCCAAAGTTTTACATTTTTTAGAATTTATTTGATATTTT